ACTAACTTTACCGCGGTCACAAACATGCGTTTTCACAACACGGGCGCTGGAAACGTCATTGTTTCTACTAGTCAGTCTTTTTGAACTAAAAACAACAGCATGAACAGTTTTAAGATAGAAATGTTATGAAAGACCTCTCTCGGATGTTAGTTCACGGTTTGAAGCCTCTGTTATAGTCTGTCATCGCTCTTGAGGACTGAGAGGTACGTGTCAGCGTCTTATTTAATGTTGACATTAACTGGCTGTACCAAACAATGGTGTTTACCAAAATGATGCTGTCAAGTCTCCAACATAAAGCAAATATATGTTAAGATTTCTGTCGTGTTTTTTTTTTTTTTTTTATTTAATTCAGCTTTATTTGTATAGTGTTTTTACAATGTAGATTGTGTCAAAGCAGCTTCACATAAAAGAACATAGTAAATTGAAACAGTGTAGTTCAGTTTTTAGTGTTTAATTTCAGTTCAGTTTAGCTCAGTTCAGTGTGGTTAATATTCACTACTTAAGAGTCCAAATACTGAAGAGCAAATCCATCGATGCGTTGCTCTACCGATCCCAAACCATGCAAGAGGTGCCACTGTTTACCTAGTTGAGGTAAAGTTGGTTTTATAATTACACCTTCGGTCTCTCTGCTTAATAATACAACTAATTTCGTTTTCAATAAAGTATTCTTTGCAAATATTAAACAGTGAAATCACATTAGCAGCCAATGACTATTAAAGTACTGCAGTGTTCACAGTCAAAAAAATAAACATGCGATTTCCAGCCGAATATTCAAAGCACCATGGTAATCAATATTAGAAGGGTATATATGGAGGTCGGAGCCAGCTCTAAGTGGGCTATACAAACTCGGAGTTTTTATTTATTTATTTAATGTCTTGTACATGACACAGTCCAGAGTCCAGTATTGTGCTTTATGAATGTCTACACCTACCCCAACCCTAAGCCCAACCTCACAGTAACCTGTTGTGTTTTATAAATATCTGCTCCACCTACACCACCTAAACCCAAACTACTTGTGGTGAAAGTCCCTCAAACGTGGAGGTCTCCAGGCTGCAGCAATACCTTCTTGAACAATATAGAGAGCATGTCACAAGTTGTCACTGAATGAATGTGGGAATATAAAACCAAACTGACCTCATTGTTTAACCATGTAAGGCTTCAGATATGCAGTTCAACAAAAACTGTCGTTATGATTCTTGGAATGTCCCTTTATCAAAACACTTGTTTTCCAAATTTGTAACTTCATTTTTTACTGGAACACAAAATGAAAATATATTTTAATGGAAGCTGTTTATTAAACTGTTGGAGATCATTGACTTCCACTGCATGCATATTTTAATAAGAAGCTGTACAAAATTATATTTGTGCTCATACATTAGTCAGTACTGAAGCCAAATCTGCAGCTTATCTTACAAAATATTTTGCGATAACAGTCAAAAATACACCCAAATTTATGTTATAGTAAAATATTAAATAATAATAATTGAATAAATTTTGTAGGTTGTATTTTTTGTAATATTTTTCTTGAGTTAAATTGTTTTATCTTTCAATTTCTAAATATGTTTGGTGAATAAAATATTATTTTAATAAATATATCTGTTTAATAAATCTGTTTTGTTCAAATGCACCAAAATACATTGCCTATATTCACTGAGAAATGGAGAAAAATATTCTATTTCAAAATGGGCTGTACTCGATTACGCTGAGCACTGTACATATGTCAATGTACAAATAGTTGCAGATGGATCTCCTGGTCACCAATGTGGCCGAGCTCCTCACGGCTGCTGTCCAGGAGGTGCTTCAGCTCATGGGTCAGGCTGTGTTAGAGTATCAGAAGGAGTTTGCCAAAACACGCCTGGAGAATCACCAACTCCAGCTGAAGCTCCGAGAACTCCAGGAGAGAAACACTAAAGCACCAGGTCAGAGATTTGTATTATAATTTATTATTTGCCAGTTCATCCTTCTATAAATAAAGCTGACTAGACTGTAGCCACAGTAGTGAATGATTCTACTAAAAATATCTGTTTTCAGATGAAGCTTTTCCAAGAGATGAGTCTCATTTGAAAGAGGATCAAGCACAGGAAGATCTTATTTCTCATGAAGATTCAGCTGTGAGCGAGGAGATAAAGCTGACTGATGAACCTGCTCATATAAGCCTAGTTTTAGATGAGACTCCTGTAAATAGTCAACATCATTCTCTGCAAGCGACCTGTGAATATTCCTTCAATAATCAAAGACCCCTATCCAGAATTAAGACCAGCTCTTCAAGTAGGATCTCCAACTCTTCATCTGGCAGCAGAAAGACTCCAGCGACGGAGACACCGCAGGCCTCAAACACAATCAAGCTGGAGTCTAAACCAGAGCCTCTGGAATGTCCTCTTACAGGAGATGCAGATCATGTGCCAACACCAGCTCCTGTTGTTGTTCCTGTGCAGGGCGCTGCTTTTGCAGAGGAACACATCCAGCAGCCGGCATCCTCAATTCCTAACAACATCATCCACTTCAGCCAGCCTCATAAACCAGTGAGGTGTGCTTCTAAACACGTTCTGAGGTCGCGGGTGAAGAAAATGGTGGAGGCTCAGGGTGGTCGTAGTGCCGTCAGCATCAGCACGAGCAGAGAGATGCTGCACAGCTGTCATTTGTGCGGGAAGACCTTTGCGTCACCCTCCAGCCTCGGTGCCCACTTTGTGTGCCATTCAAACGAGAGGCCTTTTGGCTGCAAATACTGTAAGTTCAGGTTCAGTCGTCTGGCCGATCTGAAGAAGCATGAGCAAATTCACACTGGAGAAAAGCCATATCACTGCTCCCTCTGTGGACGCCGCTTCAACCGCAGAGAGAATCTCAAAAGACACCTGAGGAAAGTTCATTATGGAGCAGCGCTGTGAGCTTTAGACTTCACAGGCTTCATCCTTTTCACTTTGCATGCTGATGTTGCATCTGAATGGCATTAATCAGTCTGACGAAAGTTTTCCTCACGTTAATATCATGCATTGCTGACTGTTTGCGTTGAACAAAGGTGAATTATGATCTGAAATATGACACACTGATGAGTTCAACTGGATTTTTGACATTGTTAGCATTTATAGCAGCATTCTTTTACTTGGTTTTTTACCAAATGTTTTCTCTAGAAGTGCAAAAGTTATGCCAAACAAACATCATTGCTCAAAAGTTTGGGGTCAGCTTTAATGAGGGTTTCTGCAGCTTTTATCAAGTCAAATTTGAAATTTTTAAAGACCCTTTTAAAACCATTATAAATGAAACTTTAGACTTGTACAGGACTAAACACTAATGATTATTTCTAATGACCCGGTTAGGAGTGGATATTTTTTTTTTTTCAAAATTAAATCAAATGTAATTATTTCCTAGCAACATATCTTAATGTGTCAAAACAAGACAATTATAGTTGCATACACTTTTTTTTTTTATTGACAAGTTTAACATTGTGTATTTATTTTGGAGATAGTTGCATAAATAAAAATATTTATTTGTCGGCTTTTGTTCCAAATCCCCGATTGGGTAGCTTTACTTGAACAGAGGAAAACTAAGACCTGTCTAAAAAGATTTAGGACATACAACACAATATTTAATAAAAGACACCCTGTTTAATGATTTTGAAAATATTTTTCTCATTAAAGCTGCATTTTATTTAATAAAAAAACAGCAGTAAACCAGCATTATTCTGAATGATTATTACAATGTAATGCGCACTGGGTAGCACAATCGCCTCACAGCCAGAAGGTCGCTGGTTCGAGACCCGGCTGGGTCAGATGGCGTCTTGTGTGAAGTTTGCATGTTCTCCCTGTGTTTGCGTGGGTTTCCTCTGTGGTAGGTGAATTGGGTAAGCTAAATTTTCTATAGTGTATGAGTGAGAGTGAATGGTGTTTCCCAGTGATGGGTTGCAGCTGGAAGGGCATCCGCTGTGTAAAACATATGCTGGATAAGTTGACTGTTCATTCCGCTGTGTGCCGAAAAAGAAAATGAATGAATGAATTTTACAATTTAAAATGACTTTGTTTAAATGTTTGAATATATTAGTGATTATCAAAGCTTAAAAAACACTTCTTAACGATCAGTGATTATATCAACACTTTAGGTGGAAATCATGATTCATAAGAGTTCAAATGCAGCATTTATCTGAAATATAAAGACTTAAAGACTTATGGAGAATTTTGGTATGGTCATGTTTTGGTCAATTAAGTGGATCTATAATGCAAAAATCACTTTTATATGGGGTTTAAACACAGTTGTGTAGCAACAGTCTATGTATGTAAAAGCTACTAATAGTAAAAAAAAATTTTTTTTATAATCACATGATAAAAACTGCAGAAACACTTTGACAATGCTCCCTTTGTACATGTCAAGGGATGGGGAAAGCCTAGTGACAATCTTTCCCTCATCAGTGTAGAACATTAGTACTGTTTTTGAATCTGCCACTATGCTGACACACAGGCATTTGTACGTCCACCCTCCTTTAAAAAGAAGCCTGGGAGCACAATCTCATTTGAATTTAAAGCCACAGTCACTGAAATGGCACAATTAGGATCAAATCCCAAAAGGGGCAGTTTCAAAGAGTTATAAAACATTATTTGTCGGGTATTTAAGGCTGAAATTTCTCAGACACACTCTAGGACAGAGGTGTCCAAACCCAGTCCTGAAGGGCAGGTGTCCTGAAAAGTTTAGTTCCAACCACAATCAGACACACCTGACAAGCTAATCAAGCTCTTATTAGGCTTTCTGGAAACATCCTTGCATGTGTGTTGAGGAGGTTGGAGCTGAAATCTGCAGGACACCAGCAATGCTGGACTGAGTTTGGACACTCCTGCTTTAGGGACATCAGAGACTTATTTTACATCTAGTAAAAATCAGCATAATAGGTCCCCTTAAATACATTTTACTCATTGAATGGAAAATATTTGTAAAAAGTTATTGACCCCAGGCTTTTACATGGTTACTTTTTTACACTCATTTCTGATTTATTTTGTCTCGGTTTGACCTCATTGTTGACCTTACATGAACTGTTTTGACCCTGTTATCCTCATAATTGTTTTTAATTGTACAGTAATCTGTACACTTTCAGCTTGGTGCGAGATCACTGGTGTTACATATAAAACTGACAGATGTTCAAAAGTGAAAATCTGCACAATCAAAAACCGCTCCCATTTCATTGTTAACAGTTTACTTCAGCTTCTCTTTTTGGTCCATTCCACACGCCACTCATTCCAATCCAGTAGTGTCCGGTCTGTCTGCCATTTTGCTCGATCAAGTTCTGACAAAGAGAACCAGGATTACAAACATCAAAATAAATCTCCCTCTGTCAGCAAATAAAATGTTTACTCTTACCTTTCAGGAAAGTCTGGAAAATCTCATCAATCATCTTATGACTCTGTGATATTAACGCCCAGGGGTCTGAAAAAAGAAATCCAGAGTCAAAGAACACTACTATATGTCAATCAGCACTGTCATTCAAAGAACAACAATTGGGCAGGTGCTCACCTTTAGTGTTGGAGAGCTGTTGGAGAACGGCAGGCAGAGGGGACTCATTGTGTAGCACTGCACTGACACACAAGGCCTGGCATACTGCCTTTATTTCATCATCAACTGATGCATCACTCCCCAGACAAACACACACGGCACCTGGCAAGACAAAACAGCCCATAAATGTGTCTGCAGTCTTGGCTGAGTAATAGTTAAGCAAGAATTCACAGCATATTCATTCAAAATATTCGTTTTGTAGCATGTTACTCTTCACTTAAACATTTAGCAGAATCAGGGAAGGTTTTCTTACCATTTTTGATTCCGATGAGATATGGTTTGCTGTTGTTCTTCAACGCTAGCTGCAGATCTCCTGGCCTTTGAGTCATAAAGAAATGATTTCAACAGTCACTAGTGTTTTTTTAACCAAAATAAAAAAAAGACTACTGATTTGGTGACTAATTAAAAGCAGATAAACAGACTCGTGAATGAGGTCTCCAAGCCTCACGCCCAGCTTGATTGGAACAGTTCTTCTAAATGCTGCAGAGAAAAGAGCATTTACATTAGAGTATTAGCACAAATGATACATCCAACAAGAATAAGGCATTTAACCCTTGTGTGTCAATGCATCAAAAGTTACACAGAAGCGTTAGAATTAATTTTAGAGTTCAGAAAAAACTCACACATTTCTAAGTGTACAAATACTGTACAACATATACTTTGATATATGAATACACCAATATATTTATGAGGAAATCATTATAATGTGCCAATAATTATATAAAAAAGTCCTTTTAAAGCCATTACAACAGAATGAAAGCCCATTATCAGAAAAGGTTGGGGTGTCAAATGTCTTGTATGTTCAACAGAGGGAGAAAGAAATCCTGACAGAAGTGACATTTATGGCTAAATTATCCTTTAAAGCAGGGTACTCAAACTTTTCACTCCAGTGACTCGCGACCTCCATCGTGCTTGTAAGTGGTTATAACCATACAAATATTGCACACAATGGTGCACACACACACCAATAGGAATTATATGAACATAAGCATATTGTCAACAAAAAAAAGAGCAATAGTCTTAAGCATAACCATAACCATATCTTTTTTTTTATAATCATTATTCATTTAATTTAATATTAACCTCACTTAGTGAGAATGGTGAGCCCAATGTTTATAGCACAAAACTATTCTTGGTTAAATATTATAGACTTTGAGCCATTTGGAGATCATCCTCCTTGTTCAGTCATGGCCTTAATTTTTAATGTATGTGAATGCCATAAAGGTGTCAAAGTTTAATATTGTACCGCAAAATCAATCTGCTGCAGTTAACGTTATTGCTGTGATGTTAATCAAGCATAATAACCCCAGGGCTCACGAATAAAATATAATAATTGATAAAATATGATAATTCTTAATAGTTGAATAAAATATATGAGACTTGTATAAATCACCAAGCGCATTTATGAAGAGAAATCTTAAAATTTCAACAAAAACAAAAATTCTGTTTTGGTTTTTGTCATGATAATTTTTTTGTTTTTGTCAAAATCATTTTGCCAAGTATGATGTGATCCTGGATTAACATCTCTGTTGATCCTGGAACATCATTTTTGTTGGAAAATGTAATCCATACCTATACCCTACCCCTAAACCCAACAATAACTGTAAATTATTCCCAAAATCCAAGGGGAAAAACAGTTGGATAGCAATCATGTAGAAGTGCATAAACCTAACCGTAAGCCTAAACATAACATAAACGGTATCGGTAAACAGTAAAAAGTATCCCCTAATTCTGATTGACTGATTGCTTGAATGTTGTTCCAGGAACAACCTAGATGTTAAATAAGAAACATGTCCTACTTGGTGAAATCAGGATGGCGTGCTGTTTCCATTAACACAGCCACAGTGGTCAAAAATAGTAACAGTTTAAGGACACACAAGGGTTAAATGGGATGAGTTTTTCAGGCCGTACACAAGAACACAGGCTCTCTCTGGTTGGCCTCGGCTGGACTGAGCACTTGACCGTGAAGCAGGTACTGATGCAGGACGATGGACAACCGAGCCTCATTGAGGGTTTCCATAACAACCGAACGTACAGCTTTGTAATTGGCAAACAGGTGGAGAACAGTGAACAGGTAGAACAGGATGAACGTCAACCTGCATGAAAGAGCACAAGTCGGTCCAGTATCCATTCATTTACAGAGTTTACTGGAATATCTGGGTGGAACTCACAATGGGTTATCGGTTACAAGCGGGATTAGAGCCAGGCTGACCAGCAGTCCTGCCAGGTTCACCAGGGTTTCCTTGACAGAACACAAAAGCAGAGAAATGATACACTTATACAACACAGAGACACATGTAATGACATTAATTTCCCACACTAAGAAGGAATTTTGCTGGAAAAGAAACAATCTTAGCACACAGGACGAAGTTTACCTCACATATTTATCATCTGTTATACAAAGGGGGAAAACTGCATGCGAGTGGAGGAGCAAGTACAGTATTTATAGTTTACAAAACAGCATACAAACAGTAAACAAGTCTTATTATATTCATATTACACTCATTCATAATATGAAGAACATCGTTTTATAATGGTTGCAAAGTAATCAAACAGCAAGCTATTTCCAATGCAGCCAAAGTGAACACTAACCTGGCTGCCATCTTTAGCAGAGATATCAGCCATGTTGTTTCTGCGAGCCTGATGGACAGTTAATGCAGCTCTTGTTGCTCCACCAGCAACTCCTACAATAGACTGGAAAGACAGACAAAGAGGAGGAAGTCTAGATATGCACCATCAAACAGATCATGACTAAGGTACAGACATGTTAATATTTAAAAGAAGAAGACGCTGTTAATATTTTACCTTAAATATGCCAGCAATGCAGACGATTATAGTGAAAAAAGGAGGGAAATGAGGGGCCGCGATCTCAATGAACATCGCCACATCATTAAGAATATCAGCAAAGAGCCTGAAAGGACAATTACTTTAGGTATTTGTTATTATTATATTTTTATTAGCCAAAAAGTAAACTCTTGAGCATGCTGTACCTCCATTTTTTGGCTTCTGAATCTAACTTGCTCCTGAAATACAGGGACATGATTAAATATCTGAACAGGCATCTTCACAATCTGAATCCCTGGCAAACATTACCCTTTGAGCCAGGCAAACAGAATTCTTCCCAGCATCCCTGTTCCATCTGAAAAAACAAACAAACAAAGAAAACAGTTAAGAAAATAATTTGAGACATTTAAATGAGTCATTTGTGAATGCACATACCTCTAAGTAGCCATGTTATTGTAGCTGCTGCAACTGTTGCCTCTTGATTTCCAACCCCAACACCTCTGAGAGACGCTTGAGTGGCGAGAGTGCCAGACAGAGAGCTGGAAAATGCCTTTAGGGAGAAGACAATGATATGACGTAAGTGTTTGTATACTGTATATATACATTAGCGGTTATAAGATTTTCTTTTTTATATACACCTGTTTAACTGCTTTAAAGCACAACATTTTATTAGCATGCTACCAATTTGATGTATTTCAAAAAGATCTGCTTAAAGTAGATCAAACATTTGATCAAAATTAGATCTGCATACAGGGATGTGTTAGACTTGAACATATAAGAAAACAACAAACGGAAAAAAAAAAAACATTTGTTTTATACATGAAAATAAAAACAAAACACATGCAACTATATGAGTGAGTGATGCTTCTGACTGCAGCTCAGATTCTGCTCCATCTGGACAGAGGAGAACAAGTTCTCCGACTGAGCCTGTATTCTCCCAAAGTTTGTCCTCTTTCGTCAACTTGGTAAAAACTGATTTATTTATCATTTTTTGGTTCACTGTCGCTATATCTTTTTTACTTTACTTTCTTTACTGTCCACAAGTAGAAATTTATCTTTGGCTTCACCACACAACCAAATCAGCAACATGACACACATCACAGAAAAAAACAGGCAACACAATAACATTTAACGTCATCACATAAATCACATTAAAAACTCTATTTAAAACCCTTCACATACTTACAACCCAGTATTTAAAATTCTAATGGCACTCGGCACAAAGGACATTTGATACACATTTTTCTTTACCTGATTGCCTAAAACATGTTTTTAATAGCAAGAGCTGAAATTTTACATTTAAAGGATGTAAACAATATTCAATAATGGCATGTGCTTTCTGTTTAATTCTCATTGAATAAATTTCTTTTCGTTATCTTTGAGTTTTACCTGCAGTTGCACTGGCAATGTTTACTACTCTTTTCCTTAATTGGCAACAGTTTATACCATGCAATCATGTTAAAACTCACAACACTTTCAACCAAGTTCTTGTATAAGATCTCTAGGACATCTTGACTCACACCAAATTGTTGTAATCTCCTAATGAGATATCGTCTCTGCATTGCTTTTTTAAAAATGCACTCTGCATTTGCAGCAAATGTCAATCCACTATCAATAAATGTTGCTAAATATTTAAAACATCCAACTGTCTTTCATGTCCCTCAAGGACCAGAGGTTTTAACCCTTGACTAAGAACTAGTTTATTTCTAATAATTATCATCTCCATTTTATTAAAATTGATCTCCAGTGAACTTTTTTACACCAATTTTGAAGCAAATTTATATAACTATAGTACAAGGTATCTCCTTCTGTACCTGTACCTTGGCTTGCTTGGGGATGGTAGAGCTGCTCTAAACTGAATCAGTTTTACTTTAACTAGAACTACGCCAGCATTCAAACTGTCCGAGTGAAATGTTCTTATGCCCTTTTTTGTTTGTTTGTTTGTTTACCCTGTCCATCTAGGTAAAGCAGCTTTAATAAATCTGCACCAAATAAAGTGCAACAGAAATAAAGCTGACTCGACTAGATGTTGACTAGGTGTAGGGTCATGATGTACCTGTACAGTGTCCCAGAGCTGATACTGTAGGTAATCTTCACTGACACTCTCTGGGTATCCCTGTGGCAGGAAAACGCTCTGAGAAAGTAAATATGTGGTTGGTTGATTGATGGTTTGGGGATTATTTTCAGTAAGACATCATTAAAGTTTTTCCTCACGCACTTTAAACACGCCAGAGACTGAATTTGCCGCCAGTCCTCCGTTCACTGCATCCTTGCGCCTCATCACCTTTCCCTCCTTCAGCAGGTATTTCCAGGACTCCTGTGAGCCATACCGCTCAGTAGCAATCACTCCTTCACTTTCCTCCATCTCGACCATCTGCACATCAGTAAGAGCTTTAAAGAAACAACAATCAAAATCAATAACTTATAGACCTTTAAATATTCACTAAACTAACTGTAGTCTCAGGCTGCATGTACATTTTTAACGATGTATGTGGTTGAGCATAAGAATGTCTTTTTATATCTTTACAAAAATATCATAACAAAAAGAATCTCCTTGCATGTCAGTTGCGATTTATTAAAGTCGCCCACCTCACTCGCATATCACTCTTCCGCGTTTACACTGTACCGCCACGTCATGAGCATGTCGTGGCTTATGATTGGCCCGTGGCTCTGACGAAGGCACAAACAAGACCGTACAAAACTTATTTTTTTATAATAACTGCTATGCACTGATAATGATTATATGTATGTCTTTGTAACGGATTACTAAAAAAAACTTAGAAACTATATTTATATACAGAAAAATTATTAAGAGAATTATTCAAGGTAGAAATTAAACAAATTGCATTACTTCTTTGTCTGAAAACCCAATAGATCTTTCTGAAGCTGTATATATAGCAACATTTTAATTGCCAGGGAATTTATAGTACAGTTATATTTTTAATGCATGTAAATTTTTAATATCTACTTTGCTTATTAATAATTATATTGGAAATTGATTCAATATACCATTTATTTTTTGAATATATTTGATCTGTTCCATAAAAATACATATTCATGAATGCGAAATGTAGCCATAAAAATGTACATTTTAATTCTTGAAAATTATTTCTAAAATAATTTAGCTTGTATAGTGCCTATAGAAAATGTATTATACTCTGTGAAAATCTATACATTTACTCTCATTACACACTTCTTTTTAAAAGTCCTTAGCAATGAATTCACAATTCAGACTGGAAAAGTTTATTGGGAATGTGATTTGATTTCAGGCTGTATGACAAATAAAGTCATTATTTCAAAGAAGTATGATGATTTTCTATATTAACTTATTGGATTCTATGAATGTGTTGTTCTGTAAACAAATCTCTGCAACCATATAATGTTTTCTTCTTTATTTTAAGCAAAGAGAAAATAAGAGGTGAAAGTTTTTCAATCCAGCAGATGTCTCACCTCAGTGTCAGTCTCTGTTAAAGTGTAAGCTCAGCTCAAGCCAGAGCAGTGAACCTTTACGAGCACAGCATTAGTGTTGTCATGAGTGTCAGACAGAGACAACTGCAGGTTAAATCTAACATACAATTACCCTTAAAAATACTCAAGGATCTGAAAATCATTTTTTGTATATTTATAAATACGGACTAATCCAACTGTTGGGTTAATTTTTTACAATTACATTTAAATAATTTTTTAAGCCACTGCTGACTTTGTCTAACTCAGATATTGTTTAGAGTTTAAAAATAGCTCATGCAACCAGAAGTTTTAATATATATGAAAAATATGCTTTAAAGTTTTACTTGCCGATTTCGGGTGGGTGTGAATGTCGTGACAATGTATAACACAAAGTAAACAATGTGGGAAACGTTTAAGGTGATGTACAAATGTGGGTATTGTAAATCAAGCAAGTATGTAGAGACCGCAAAGTGGTGGACAGGACAAATAACACATCAGTGAACCTGAGGGAATAACATCACATTTCATTATTCAGAAATTTCTTACACAAAATAAATCGAGCGCTTTTAAGGATTTATATCAGTATGTTTATTAGCAAAAGCTTTCCTGGGCTGAGATTTTTGTTTTCAGATTCACAAACTATCAAGGACATCCAGGACTCATGGAAATCTCTGTGGAAAGGAAAACTAATAGAACCATTGATGGCAATTAAGTTAGTTTAAGAGTGTAAGGGGCAGGGTGGCGCTCAAATTGACAAGTGGTCCACCCAATCACCTGAGCTGAATGTTTGTATACCCTTTAACTGTCCTTGATTTACATTTTTGGTCTCTACCGCATAATACTTGAATTTTTACATTTTTATCTTTAATGTAGATATATATGAGCCAGGGCGACATGGTAACATAGAGGGTATCTCTGTCGCCTCCCAGCAAGAAGGTTGCTGGTTCGAGCCCTGGCTGGGTCAATTGGCATTTCTGTGTGGAGTTTGCATGTTCTCCCTGTGTTCATGTGGGTTTGCTCTGGTTTCCCACATAGTCCAAAGACATGTGCTGTAGTAGGTGAATTAGCTAAATTTGTCTGTAGTGTATGTCCCGGTCCTCCATGTTGAGTGTTGGGCTAACAACCCACCTCATAAAAACTAGATGTTAGGAAATACCAATATGGTGCGGCTAAATATCAACTTGTATATAAATCTCCCTGCGGGAGTAAGTATATATAAGCCTGGAACACAAAAACCAGTCATGGGTGTACATTTTTGGATTTTTTTAGATTCATGCATTGCATGAAAGTTGAATGAATATGCTTTCCATTGATATATACTTTTTTAGGATTGGTCAAACATTCTTTGAGATGCATGTATTTTTATAATTGGAGGGTTTGAAAAATCTAAATACTGAAAATCCCTTTTGAAGCAGTTCAAATTAAATTCTTAGCAATAGACATTACTAATCAAAGACTGAGTTTTGATATATTTGGGAGGAAAACAAAAAAATCTTAATGGAGCATCAGTGGATCTTTATGTAATATTTGAATTTTTTTATTACTTTGACACAATGTATTTTTAGCTTGTGTTCTACACAACTGTTAAAAATAATTTATAAGTTGAACTTATTCATTCATTCATTTTCTTTTAATCTGGGGTCGCCACAGCAGAATGAACCGCCAACTTATCCAGCATATTTTTACGCAGTGGATGCCCTTGCAGCCGCAACCCATCTCTGGGAAACATCCACACACACACACTCATACACTATACGGACAACTTAGCTTACCCAATTCACCTGTACCGCATGTCTTTGGACTGTGGGGGAAACCAGAGCACCCAGAGAAAACCCATGCGACGCAGGGAGAACATGCAAACTCCACACAGAAATGCCAACTGACCCAGTCGAGGCTCGAACCAGTGACTTTCCTGCTGTGAGGCAACAGCTCTACCTACTGCACCACTGCATCGCCAAGTTGAATTTTAAAAAATGTAATCTAATGTTCAACTTTGTTTAAATTAAACCCAAAAAAAGTTTTTAAGACCACTTGACATAAAAAAAAAAAGAGTAAATCCATGGAATCATATTTGAATCCTTTTGTTCAGTGTATTTGGTTGACTGAGGGGTGAGTGGTTTCAAGTGAAAAACCATCAATCCTGACCTTGAAAGTGAAAATAAATAAATGAGAAATGCAGACTTGAGAAAATTCTTAGAAGTAGTAACCACTCTATAAACAATGTTCATAAAACATGACAAGCTGTACATCAAGCGTTTATCCAATGTTTATGCTCAATTAAGAAACATGAAAAACGCAATCTCAGTTTACAAACACACTTCAGTTAACACGTATAGGAAGTTGAATCTGTTTAAATTGAAAGTTGATAACAGAAAACTGTCACAAAGTCAAAGCTTTATGTGACAAAGTCTGCAAGAGCCACTTGTGATTCAGAGAGAAACAAGGTGTGGTAAACAGACTGATAAACGTAAGACCTGAAGAATGTGAGAGGGGAAGTATTTCCAGCTGTGTGAGTGCGAGTAAGAAAAGTGGGAGGGACAGTGGATAAAATAGGAGAAGGAGTGCTCAGCTCAGTCTGTCACTGCTGGATTGGGCTCAGTGTTCACACTCTCTCTGCCTCCTCAAAGGACTAAACAGCAGCTAAAGAAGTCATCCTGAAATTTCCATTGAAAAAAGAAGAAGCTTTGATGGGAAGTCATGTGACAACCTTGTCATTGAACACTAGAACAAAAGTTACTAAATAATCAAGAATAGCAAAGCTCCAGACTTAAGGGGAAGGTTACAAAACTTAAGGTTAGTAAACAGCTTTGGATCTCTGGTGGAGTTGAGGAATTTCAGACACTTCTTCCCTCAAGATCAAGTCTGGGCGAGTCTGTAAGTACAGAGGGCTTCAGTTTCAACAACTGGCTCAAAATATCATGCTTTTCACCTCTTCTTTCAAGATTATTGTCTTTCTGGGAGCCCACTGTACATTGCTGAGATTTTAAATCACAGTCTCGTCGTGACAGTCCTGTACTTGTGATTCAGAAATTGATAAAGATGTGGCTTTTCACAGTCAAAATAAAAAGTAAAAGATAATAAAGCTTGGGGGGAAGCTGGCTTTGTAATTAATGAACAGTGAAGTCTGTCATTACTCAATATAGTTGCCAGTTTCTGTCATAACATGACCATCTCTGTCCATACTAGTTTTTCAAGCTCCAAAACAATGAGAGATACAAGAAAGTCTCTTCGCATGAAATGCTTTGAGGGGATTTTAGGAAATCCCTGTTCAGCCGTTTTTTATTTATTTGATTCTCACTCTTTATTATTTATAAACTTCTTTCTTTTTAACCTCATATTAAAACTGAAAGTAAAATGAATTAGAGGCAAGAATCTGTTCATTTTACAAATCAGTGATCAGCCCATTAATTCACAAGTGTATGTTTAACATTTGGTTAAGTTTAATTAAACCACAAGTGGAACACTTTTTTTAAATGGGAAGAAAATAAATACTCAATTTGATTGAACTTATTTAGCAAAAAGATTGCATTTGTAACAAAATGTGTTTTTTAACTATCAAATTGTTTTAAATATATAAATGCATATAACAAAATATAGTATACATTGATTGCCAGTTAATTAATATTTCACAAATAAGCATCACATCAATCACATTGAAGCATTTAAAAAAAAATTAATTACTAAACAAGACCATCAGTAATTAATATGGCAGAGATCGCTTTTTGGAGACTGCTGCACTGTAAAAGCGATTAGTTGACTCCTTGCCCTTAAATTAGTTAAAGAAATAGTTCACCATAAAATAAATATTGTCATGTTTATCTTTCTTTCATCTGTTGAATTCAGAAGCAAGATATTCTGAAGAAAGCTAAAACATGTAACCATTGACTTCATAGTATTTGTTTTTCACTATGAAAGTCGATAGTAACAGCTTTTCAGCTTTCTTCAAAGTATATTCTTTTTGAGATGAAAGAAACTCACAAAGGTTTGGAACCAATTGAGAATGAGAAAATGTCGAATAAACTATTCCTTTAAGTAAGTTAAAATATTATACAATCAATACCATTTAAAATAAGTCAATTTAACCATTCGATTTAATTCATCTTTATTACTATAGAACTTTTACAATGTAGATTGTCAACACAGCTTCTAGTAAATTGAAATTCTAGTAAATTGAAAC